TGTAGTTTTTCAAAGGTTTCTCATATAAAAAAAATAAATAAGCATGACTTTTTAAAACTAAACTCTGGCTGCAGTTGAAGTTTCTGATTGCAAGTCTTCTGAAAGTTATGGTTCTGTACCTGCAATCCCAAGTAAAATGTTAACATCTTTTTCTTTTCATATGCCTCTATTCATGTCTTATGCATTCAGATCATTCATAGAAAAGAAAACTGACACTGCGCACTGTTTGTGTACACATTTCATCCAGCTGTTTACTGGCAACTCTCCTCATTTGGTCCCTGTCTCCTCTCCTTCCTCTGAGTGTGATAATCAGACAGGTCTGCCGAAGCCCCCATTGTCTGCACACACCGTCTACGTGACTCTTATACATATGAGAGCAGCTTAGCATTGTGAATACCGCTCAGCTTTCTGGAGGTTGACCTTTTTCCATGGATTAATAGGTTTTATGCTGGCAGCATTAATAAACAATTTCTTCGTTTCCACAGTGGGGTAGTGAACAGTCACTCTGCATATTAATGCACACCCCCCCCTTGCCCATACAAACCTCCTCTCACCTACTTTTAGGCGGTCATGCTCTGCAATCACGACCTGTTTTGTGTGTGTGTGTGTTTTTTCTAAAGGATCTTTGTTTTAGAGAGACTCTCTTAGCTCTCCCTTTTAATGCCTATTCACTCTTTTTCAGGGCTTTTTATTTTAAACTCCCACTCCCTCCATCTGTCTGTGTCCGTTTGCCTTTTTATTATCTGGTGTTTTTTTTCTGTAGAAACGGTTTTTCTTTCCTGGATCCACCCCTTCTCCCCCAACCACACACCTTTCCCTCTCTGCCTGTTTTTTTTTTTTTTCTTTCTTTCTAAGTCAAGTCAGTCTGTTTTGCTTTGACTCTTCTTTATTTCTGTCCCTGTCTTTTTTGCTTTGGTGACTGGGTCTGATTGTGTAGGGCTGAGCAGTTTTGGCCCTCACGCTGTCTGTGGCCAAGGTCAATTATGGCCTTCCCATTCAGAGCATGGCCAATCACGAGCCAGGGAGCCACTGATGTGGAGCGCCAGGCGGGGGAGATCGAGCGGGAAGAAAATCAACCGTTTGATGCCTCAAAAATGATTCGATTTTCCACTGGTGTGAAAGTGTGTGCTGTGTCTGAGTCTCCTTCTCCTTGTTCGCCTTCAATGTCACCCATATTTTCTCAAAATATTAGTTTGATGTTGGGCAGAATTATACAGCAGGTAGCTCTGGGTCTTTTTTATATGATGTTTTTTTCCTCACATGGTTTGTGTTATTCCCTCAAATTCATATATTTCAGAGTCAGGGTGTATTTGATCTTTTTTGTTATAAGGGAGAATTAATTCTAAAGGACACTAAAAACTTGTAAATAATATTTATTTTTTGTTGTTGTTTTCATGAAAATGTCATGGATTATATCATAGATGTGCAATGTTGATGTGCACAATCTGAGGTCAAATGTTTTGCTGTCTGGTGGGTGCCCACATACGTTTATTGGTGTGAAGAACTGAGGAGGAATCACTAAAGGAAGGGTTAATTTTGTTGTTGGCAACACAAATAACATAATAAAACCATTTGAATTGTCTCTGATATTCTCCACACTTTAAAATACCATCATTGCACATTGTTTCTGACGTCAGCGGTGTTCACTGCTCTGAATCAAACTGATTACGGTGACTGGCCGTGCAATTCCACAAACAAACCACCTCCACTCGCTCAGCCTCCGTAAACAAAGACGCTTGTCTGTTCGACGGCATTTGATTAGCCACAATTACGGCCTTGGCACCAGCTTGTATGATTGCTTTGACTCAAGGCTGTTTTGTAGGTGTTTTATAAGTAATCACTGCTGGGCTAAACCTGGACCAGCATCAGAATGATGTGTCTAATTACAGCAGCCAACCAACCTGGGGTGCAGCTCACCTGATGAGGAAAAAAGTAGAATTAATTACCTAATTGGAGCAACTCAAAGAACCATGAAGGTAAAAGTGTTTGCCTTCTAATCGGCTCAGCGACAGAGTTTGCTGTAGCATCGAAGGAGCATGTTTAACCGTTCTCCCAGAACAGCGACTATTTGGTTCAACAAATAAACCTTTGTTCGCTGTTGTTGGCTAAAGATCACCCAGAGGAGTGGTTTTTTTGAATACAAATGACATCCCTCCCTCAGGATAAGACTTCGCCTCTATGATTTGGAAATCTATTAATTTGTATGTATTGTGTACAGTCTGTAAAATCGTATTCTGTCACCTTGTTAGAAGTCAGGACACATCCTCAACCCATCTGACAACTTGGACATAATAAGAAACCATTTGATAAACTACTGCTTGCTGTTGATACACAATAAATAATGATGGGGTTGAGCTTGTGCGTTGTCCCGAGGGCATGTTTGTTTATTTGATGTGAACCATGCCGTCCTCGTGCTCAGGGTTTTATCATTTAAGGCTCAGTTTTTATTGCTTCAGCCTATAGATTGTTCGGCTGAGCCTGTGTCGTCTGCAATTGAAGCAGCATTAACAGTCGTGATCCTAATCCCTACATTTACCACTAGAATAGACTGAAGTTAAGTCTCTTGTGTAATGTAATCTCTGACGAGACAGACCAAAGTCTGGATGTGGAATTTCCCAACACATGTCTCTTGCAACAGATCACAGCTCTGACCGCTCCCTGTCTGCACTGACAGATCTGACTGTTTCTAACTGTAATTGAATGTGCAGATTCACGTCACAGCACCTCTTCTGGAGCTTTATTTATTTATTTACTTTTTTTTGACATGTCATCTGAGGTTGCTGTTATGCATCATGCATTTGTGCTTTCCTCTCAGCTCAGAAATGCCCACGAGTCCTCAAGCAAGGATAGAGAGGACACTCAAAATACAGCCGGGTGCTCCTCAGGATCATTATTATCATCTCTCCACTCCTTCCTGCTCAGCTCTGCTTTCAGCTGAATGCTGTCTGGAGGATAAGCTCTGACAGGAGTAATTCACTAAAGGGCTAATTACATGATAATCATGGCATCGTGTGTCCTGTGTTCGAAACAGAGTGTTTAGCCCATAAATAACGTCCTGTGCTGCTACAGGAGAAGTGTAATGAGATAGCACCACCATAGTAACTACAAAATGTCAGTGGAAACATGGAAATGTTACCAAGAGGAATAAATTAGTGTGATGTATTTTTCTACAGATGGCAAGGTCATTAGGTCAGTTGGTTCATCACTTTGTTCCAGGCTGAAATATCTCAACAACTGTTTCATTCTGTGCACTCATGGCCCCAGCACATAAATCCTACTGACTCTTTTCCTCTAGCTTATTTTGATGTGTTTGAGTTTTAGTGAAATGTCTTTACAGCAGTTGAATAGATTTCCATGAAATATGGTACATATTATCATGGTCCCCAGAGGGTGAATGCAGTTCACTGTTTCTCTCCCCCAGTTTTCATCTATAGCGCAACCAACAGCTCAAGTTTGCGCTTACCTGATGAAACATCTTAACATCTGTTTGACAAAATGTTCTGTTCATGCTTTCCAAATGATGAATCGTATCGGCTTTAGTGATCCGTTGACATTTCACGTACAGCCACAATATTGACTTTTGTGCTTTGATTTAAATGTCGGCAGTTATTGAAATTTTCATCAAGCACCATTGTCAAGACAAAATTTACTTTGTTTAAAGACCAAAGTCCCAACAGCTTCAACTGGACTTTGCGTTTGGGGCTAATTCACTAATATTAGTCTGGTGACGCACTAAAAACCATGAGCACGATCACCATTGAACCTGCTGAACATCAGCATAGAATCAAAGGGGTACAGGAAAATGGATCATCACAGACCCTGTTTCATAAGACTGTGTGTGTGTGTGTGTGTGTGTGTGTGTGTGTGTGTGTGTGTGAGTGTGTTTCATTAATTACCATAGAAATTAGTTCACAGTGGTTGGGTGATGATACTGTATACAACACAGCCATTTCAAATATTCTACAGTTTGCTTATTTCTTACAGAAGAATTAAAGTGCTCCTTATTTTGGATTCCTGTGATGTGACATTGAGACCCGCAGCAGTGCAAGATGAATCAGAGGTTTTTATATACAATGTCAGGGGTTTTTGTGAAGAGGCTCAGTGTGAACTGCTCACAACAGATGTGGTGAAACTCTCCATTGTGATGAGTGCGCTTTGATTAATACACCCTGAATGAATGCCTTTATTTTTAGCCTGGCAGGGCGGACAGTGTGGAAACGCTTTTTATTACCCTTCTGGTTGGAGATGAATTGGTAACAGCGGAGAGAGATGTGGTGCCTCGCTGTTCATTTGTCATTGCCAGATTGAGGTGTAAAGGATGGAGGAATCACTTGATTAGGCCTATCATTATTCGTGCAATGTGCAGAACACAGTCATAGACAGATCGCTAAAAGCAGACATAGTGTTTGGGAAGAATGATCCCCTTTGGATTTTCCCAATTAAAAAAATTTGAGGAACTAGCGAAGTGAGTCTGGCCAGACATCTGGGGGCAGGGAGTGCTGATTTTTCCATTGCTGATGTCCTGGGGTCAGAGCCTAACAATATATACTTTCTGCTGGGAACATGAACTAATTGACTAAACGAGTGCTCTTACATCTGATGTCAAGGTTAAGGCCAAGGAGAGAAGGAGAGTTGCATTTCATCAGAGCAGGTCATTAGGCTCAGCTTGAATCAGACATGATTACAGCGACGGAGGCTCTGCAGTGCTCGTCTTTTTCAAGACAGGTAGAGGTATGAAGTTCATTTTACCTGGTGAGGCACTTTCTGCGCCTGCCATAACATTATTCTGTACCACATGAAATAAAGGTGACATTTGTCCCGGTGACCGCCATACGAGTTCACATATAAATTATGGATCTGACATCTGTTTCATTCCTACACAATGTTGAGGTATGAAACATTCATTTCAGTCTACTGGAATGTCTCCCACATACATTATTGTCAAATGAAATTTCATATGTATCGCTTTTAGTAACTGGCGCTTCTGTCTGTCTTTGTAGGAACTCTTTACAGCGGAATGCAAGTTCAAAGAGTCGGTGTTCGAGAACTACTATGTGATCTACTCGTCAATGTTGTACAGACAACAGGAGTCGGGGAGAGCTTGGTTCCTAGGGCTCAATAAAGAGGGCCAAGCCATGAAGGGGAACCGAGTGAAAAAAACAAAACCAGCTGCTCACTTCCTGCCCAAGCCATTAGAAGGTACGTAATAAGTGGGAGCAAACTGGAGCATTTTTAGGTTTAATTGCACGAAGTCAAAGCTCTCTTTGGTTGCAACCTTTCCAATGAATAAAAATAAAACATTGCAGAATCTCTGAATAAAGTATAGCACATTGAACTGACTTCCTGGGACAACAGAGTAGCATTTCCGTCCAATTGTGTCTCCATATTTTTTAGTTCTTGAAGCACTTTTTCACCTGTCAGCATTGCATGAGACCTTGTTACTGAAAATTGACATCTTGGTACAGCAGAAAACATACCGATGTTTAGGTGTATCTTGGAAGAAAAAAAAAAACATCCATAAAAACTGAAAACAATGACTACCCTCAGCATGTGTCCTTATTATACTATAAGACAGCTGTCTCATACTATAAGACCTGATTCCATATTTGGTAATGGTACAAGTACTGTATATGAAATGTCTCTGTTGGACAGATTTTTGCATTTGTGGGCTGATTCACTGTTTTGCTGCTGTAAGCAGACAGTGTAGGAGGCAGGGCAGCTCTGTAAGTGCAGCATGAAATGTTGATTGTCCAGCAGATGCCACCATGACTCTCGTCAGCCACCAGCCTGATTGCTTCCCATCATTTAAGCGTGGAATCAAGTTGAAGTGTCTTGTCAAGACAGTAATACAGCTGTAGTGTGGTGACTGTAAAGTGGTGAATAATGAGACACCTTTCATTGTTTGGTCAAAAAAAAAAAAAAAAAAGTAGATTCGAAATCAGCCCTGATGGAGAAAGAAGTCCAGTTAATCAAAAAAGGTATCCATGTGTAAATGACAGGGTGTCTTCAATGCAGGCTTTGAGGTTTTTCTATTTATTTTTCCCCTGCGTACAACCTTTTCAAAAAAGAAAGCAAGAACATATTGTTAGGGGATAGATGCTCCTGAAATAGTTTTAGACAGGTAAACTCTAAAGTGCAGAGAAAAGGTTCTTGCTAACAGCTTTTCCCTTGTTCCTCTGCTTTCTCTCCTCCCTGTCTGCTCCTCCAGTTGCCATGTACAGAGAGCCATCGTTGCATGATGTTGGAGAGACAGTGCCCAAGGCGGCAGTACCTCCCAGTAAAAGCACAAGTGAGCCGGCAGTGATGAACGGAGGTAAACCTGTCAGCAAGCCCGACAAACCCGCCACATAGCCACACCTGACCAGCGCCCGGTGTGTGTGTGTGTGTGGAGGGGAGGAATGTGATGGAGGCGGGGCTTTTTTTTTTTTTTTTCCCCTCCAACTAGACTCCAGACCCTCTTTGGATCAGATCCAGGCAAACCTCCCTACCTTTCTTGTTCTCGCTCCTCCTCCTCTGTCTCCGCCTCCCTTTTCTCCAGCCATCTTCAACACTGGCGGATGGATTGTGATGCGGCCGAGTTCGTCCAGCACAGGAGGGAAGAGGACCTCTGATCATGGAATGCCTTTAGATTCCTCTGAAACTGTGAGAATTCATGTGAATAACGCGTGTTTCACAATGACGCCTGTGGTACTTTTGCTTGATGACGGTTCGTCCAAAAGAAAAAAAACAAAAAAACAAACTCCCCCCTCTCTATAATGCCCTGTTGCAGCAGAGTCTGTGTATCTTCAGATCTATTTTCTATACCACAGTTCACCAGCTATGTTCTGGGATAGAGACTGTATAGATAGAGTAAATATTTGGACTGTTGTCCTCTATTTTTTACGAGTATGTTCCCTTCTCCCTCTCTTTCTATCTCTAGTCACACTTTTCTCTTTGTCAAGTAACCTAGAAAAGACAAAAACATTTTGCAAGGGAATTGTGTGATTTTCTAAGAAACACATTCACACAGATGTGGCATAAGAAAACACATGAACGAAACAGTCCAAATTTTTTCTTCTTGCCGACAACATGCACACACTTAAAGACAGACACACAAAGTTTGTGTGGAAAAATCAGAGACGCTGCTTTTTTACAGCAGATAAAACCACACTGGAGGCTGGCAGATAGCTCCTGCAATCATAGTTGATGAAGTGCTAATTACCGACACTGCAATCAATGCGAGGAGCTCCCTACACACACACAAACACACACACACGCACACACACACACACACACACAAGCAGATGTGCGTGTGGGTGGGAGAGCGCTGTAAGGAATGGTGTATACATATCACTATCTAAGTCCCACCAGCGGTTCAGTCCGCCTTCTCTGGTAAATAGAAAACCTGAAGTCTATTTTTCTTTAATCTTATTTCAGAGCGTGGGCTCTAGGAATATCTCTAGGCCTTGTAGGCCTCTGTCCCTCACTCACTGACTACTTTGGACTACGAGGCAAGGCTTGTGGCTTTGACCCAGATGGTCTATAACTGCAGCACTGGCAGCCATCTTATGGCAGTGTCTACTTAAAGCCAGAAAACAACATGGCTGAAAACCAGTAGGTGACATTTATACCGGCTGCATCCCTATTTGGTTCAGCAAACTAAAGCATGGACAAGGTTAATATTGTGTTCTCTCTTCTTGCAGCAGTTATACAAGAGACGGCTTATATTGTAACATTTTCACTGTATAAACCTTAGGGAAAATGACTATTAAAAATCATAACTTTTTAAATGACTAGATATTATTATTGTTATTATTATTATTATTATGATTATTATTATTATGAGAGGATTTGTCTTCTAGCTCAGCATGCAGAGTCCAGTACTGATCATCTTGGCCTATCACGTGCCTGTTTGGACCTTGATTCCCGGCATGCAAAAACAGGTTCCCAGTCCCCACTGGGCCAAAGGTGCCTCACCCACCCGATACATCCATGTAGAGGACACGTAGCATTGTTCAATTGAAAAAAAAAATGAAAAAAAAAACACTCACATGTATTCATTCTGAAATGACCAAAGTCTTTTTTCATCCCAAGAAGAACTGATTCTTTAAAAAAAGAAAAGAAAAAAAGAGCATAAATCCAATTCTCTCTCAGATTCAATTCATTGAAGCTTTCACTGTGATAGCGTTTGTTCTGTCCAAAAAGAGTCAACTCTGCTCAGACCTGCAAAGGTCTCCTCGACTGATGTCACTTTGGAGAAGTACATATACCTTGAATTAATCACATGCATGTATTTTCTATAAGGAACAAGGTATGGGCATTGTTCTTCACTCTGTGTAAACGGAAGAGCACTGAGGTTCAGTATGGGAGTTGAATGGGCATGTTGTAGGCTACGGCTAATCTGAAGGTAACTCACTGCACTTTGTTTTTGCATTTTCATCACGACTGTTAGCAGTTTATCAAAACTCTATTGGATCGATACATCTCGAACGCTTGTCTTGCTTTGATGATTTTTTTCCTACTAGTTTTGTTAGATAAGATTTAGATTAATAAAAATAGATTGTTGCTGCTGTATGCTGCTAAAACCGCAACTATATTAACAAATTGATTTGGTAAATATAATTTTATGAGTTTATTGGGATTATACATAATTTTCTTATTACAGCACATCAAAGCACATTAGTTAGATGTCAATATTTGTCTGTACAAAGCTGTTAATGCTATAACAAAGATGGCGTACTCTACACATACACACACACACACACACACACAAACACACACACACACACACACACTCACACACAGGAGCTGGAAACCACTGTAGTTGTATTTGGGGCTGATGCTCCTTATTGCAGCCAGTCATCCTCCACTCACAAACTCTACATGCTGGGCTGGTTACTACTCCAGCCCTGCAGTCCAGTCCAGTTAACTGGCTCCTCCAAGGCTGACTTTATTTTTGTAAATGACCGGTGTGTAAATGTACATCTCTGTTTGGATCTCTGTAGTTTCTCGTTCTTCTTCTTTTTTCCGTCTTTGTTTGTCCTCATTTCTCTCGTATACGGGTCGTGCGTGATGTCATTTTTTTTCAGATCCCAATCACTTTTTGCTTTGGTTCCCTTCTCTTCAAACGAGATTTTATTTTCTCTCAACTTAGTTTTCTTCGTTGCCTCTGTTTGTTTTTCAACCTCTTATTTTGTACGTTGTCCCATCTGTTGCATGGGGAGAGGATGGCATTGAACTGCATGTAGTAGGCTATGTCTATCAAGAACTGTTGGTATGTACCGCTAATTTTACATATATGCAACGAGTTTGTCTACACTATACAGTTTGTGTTTGTTGTATACACATATACAACATATTGAATAAAATATTTATATAAAGGTGTACTGTAATGTCAGTAACATACTTAATGCAATATAGTGTGCAGTATATTATTGCACCTGTCATTTTTGATGGGACAAAGAAAAACAGAGGGGTTTGGCTAGTTTAAGCATGAAAAAAGGCCAAAGTAGAATTTACATTAAATTTTCTTTGTGACTTCTTATCGGTCCTCTTTTCAAGTGGTGACTGAGCTCTTGTGTCAATGCAGCTCTCATCCCCTGATTACCACCTTTTGAAGTGACATGGACATCCAGCATGCCACAACCGAACTATTTATGCCCTTCTCTTTGTTTCTTCCACCTAGAATTTAAATCTTCTCACCACTAGGACAGTGTAGATGACATGGCAGATTGTTTGGTTCCTGGTGGAGATGATTAGGCACTATTAAAATGGATTTATTTTCAAAAAATATATATATATACCATTGCAAGTATGCCCATTGGAGTTATGTCATGTTATAACAAATTTGTAACCATGTATGATTAAGGTCTTCGCATTGTTTTCCATGCAAAATGTTGTGTCATGCGGCACATTTAATGTTTTATTATTAAAAGGAAATAAAAACCTCAAAGAGCAGCCTCTGCCTTGAGTAAAATTTCAGCCCAGTTTTGGGGGGAAAAACAAAACAAAACAAAACACTTGGTACTAGAAAAAGCAGACCTACATCTTCCCATAGTGTCACACCTGTTCCAAAAATGTTAATAATACAACATGTTTTCTTCTTTCCAGCATTTGGATTTGTCATGTTCCTGCATCCTATTATATTTAGCCATTTGAAATATGTAAGCGTTCCTACAGTATGAAAAAAAAAAAAACATAAAGCAGATTTTATATATATATAATATAATGTGTTTTAAACAGAAAAGTATGGTTGCTTCTTTTCACCTAACCCAGTTTTAATAAGGAGCCTTTGTAACCAGTACAATAAAACAATGAATACTGTTAGTGATATGCAGAATTACATCCATGTTTAGTCTTCTCCTTCTTCCGGCAGTTTCCAAGCTGCGGTGTTTTTGGTCGTGACGGGCGGTGGTGGTGGTGGTGGCGGTGGTGCTCCTGGTCACTCTAGTCTCTGAAACCCCAGTGTCCTGTTTCTCCTCAGTACTCTGCTCCCACCCAGATTTCGCAAGCGTTCCCCGTCCAGCCATCCCAGCACTCGCAGTTGCCGCAATTGCACAGCCCATTCCCTGTGAGAAGATGTGAGAAGAAAAGCTGTGAATTAAAAGAGCTGTGCCATCATGCCTGACCTTTAACAAGGTTCCTCTTTTCACACCCTGCTTCCCTGGGTGCGGCTCTCTGGTAGGGGATGGAGGCCAGCTACATTACTCAGGACAGTTTGTAGTTTTCCACTGCGTTTGGTTGCACCACAGAGGAGAAGGCTCAGATTTAATTACTAGTTAAAACTCTTATACTTACACCACCTTTGTGCAAAGCTCAGATATCCCAAAATCCCATCAGTCTTTCTTGCTTTAAAAATGTCTCCTAACAGTGATTATTTACTGTATGTTCAGTAGCAAAATAGGAAATATTGATATCAAAAGTCTCAGTGTAAAACATTTGACTTCAATACAAGAGACAAGAGTCCCATTTCCTGAATCTAACAGGGCAAGTCAAGCCACCAGCTCTTTCATATTGGTTGCTTTGGGATTGACGACAAACAATAAAACATTTTCTTTAATTGAAGACTGAGATCTTTTAAAGACACCCAGGGTGGAATAACAGCTGAAGCAGTTTATAAACCAGTACCCCCGAGCTCTCCACAAGCTGCCTGAGCTGTCAGACGGAGACGCCGAGGTTAGGAAGAGGACTCCTGCTGGCCTCCTGTCACACAGTTGAAAAGACATATCTATTGCAAAATACCTCCGTGGGAGGAGGGAGGGGTCTGAGGAGAGGAAAAAAGCTCTGACGAAGGCAACGGAGATGAATATGTAGGTAAGAAAAAGAACAAAGAGAGTGAGAAAAGGAATGGAAGACGCCGCAGAAAGGGTCAACACGTGACTTCACACAGAAATGACTGGACTGCGTGTTGATCTACTGAATGCAGGTAGCACCAGATAGGCCCTTGCTTTCATTAAAAGATAACACTGGCGTTATTTTATGCTTTTGTTTTTGCCAAAAAATTCCATGAAAAGGCCAAAACCATGATGATTTTTCTTGCTCTTCTTCCTTACTCTCCTTTCCAACCTTGTTTGTGACACTTAGCTCCAAGAGTTAAAAACATTCCTTCCAAATCATTTGACTTTTACTTAAGTATATTAGTCAGCAAGTGAAGTGTGTTTTATTGAGTAAATTCAACCTATTTGTTAACATCTGTAAGATCATAAAATATACCCCAAGACTGACATTGCATCATCTCCTGTGCTAATAATAAAGTTAATCTTCCCTCAATAGTAATAATTGGTCATATTGATTAATTGTTAATGATTATTAGATGATAATAATACGTTTTAGATAAATAATGACAAGGAGATGAACAGTCGTAGCGCCCTGAGTGGGCTTGTATTAATAAAGAACCATATAGATGTTGTTATATTGGGTTGTTCTTTGTGTTTTACAGCTTCATTTCTCAGGTTGTGTTTTATTTACCTTCATGTTAGTGAAGCTGTGGCATCATTAGTGTAGCGGGCTGATGACAATCCCTGTGTTCGTACTAACAGAAGTGTATAGTGTGAGGCTCTGCATGTGGTATAAACAGGAACCATAGGGGGAAACTCAATCTCTATCAAGAGTGAATCATCGCTGGCCACAACATTTTTTTAAATTTTTTATTATATTATAAAACATATTGCTCAGAATGATGCATTAATAGCTGGAGAGGATATGCCTGTACTGTCCTTGCTGAGTTATATGCCCTTGCAGTCAAGATTAATATTAATATTGCTCTTTTTTTTATACAGTATTGAGTAATGTAAGTGTTTTGGTTAAGTGAGGTCTCTGTTAGACTTTACAGAATTTCTCCTATTGGTGGGGAGTCCTGCCTAAACAAAATGAGTGCAAATTGTTACATCAATTTGACTGAGTAGATTCTGTTTGGCTCATGTGTTTCCACTGAAAAAGTAAATGTTTATTCATGCATAGAGGTCACTACAGTGTACAGCTGTTTAAAAGCTGTTTTCTTGTATATGCAGGAGTTTTAATGGCATAGTTGCACATCAGCCACTACAGTGGATGCCTTTTGCATCATTTCATGCACTGCCACTCATTGGCTAGCCATTGCAAATGATTTAAAAAAAGAGTGAAACCAAGATGGCCGACAGACAGCCAGAAACTCCAAGTTGCTCATTTTTGTCTGTTCAAAACTTCTATAAAAAGAGACCCTTGCAGGTAAGAAAAATATGGTGACACCAAGTAACATCTAAGGAGTCATGCAATTGCAAAATTTTCCAAGTATTGATTTTATATTGGGAGGAAATTATGATTAATCACATGTCCACTCAAGTGTACATCATGCATCACTGGCTACATTTCAACTACAATTCACAGGATACAATTAGGCTATTACTGCTGCTGTTCTTGAAAATACTTCATCTCCAGGAACTTTTTTGGCTGTAAATAAACTTGTTTATGTTTTAAGAATGTAACTTGTAGTTTTTGTATGTCTTTATGAATATCTTTATATTTGTAGAGCTCAGGAGCAGAGCGTAATAGACAGGCCTACAGGGCAGTGGAGGAATTATCACATTCAAGTGAGGAGGATGATACTAGGAGCAGTGATGAGGAATGGCTGCCAGAACAGGATGGATTAGCAAATACTAGCAGTAGTGACAGAGCTCAGGACACAGAGTCTGGAAAGGCTGCTGAGGGAGATGAGGCTGAAGGAACTGAGGATGCAATTGATGGGGAAGGACTTGAGGCTAAGGATGCATCACCTAATAGAGGTCAAGGGCAAAAGGCACAAAAAACAGCAGCAATGTCTGGAAAACTAAAGACAATGAGTTTGAGTGAGACTTGCCTCATTTTTTTCGGAGAGTGGAAAGTGAATGTTGAGGGAACAGAGCCAATAGATTCATTTATGCATCTATTTCCAGATGATCTGATAGATTATATAGTGCACAATAGAAACATGTATGCACTCCAAAAGGGAAAAGAGAGTCTTGCCTTGACATCACAGGAGCTGAAAACATTTCTAGAAGTAAATATGGTCAATGCATACATCAGATACCCAAGATGAAGAATGTATTGGTCATCAGAGGCAGGCCTTTGTCTGGATTTGATTGCAGATGCAATGGCAGAGGGCAGATGTCTTGTGGCTTTGTGCCTTGGGTGCTTTGCAAATTATCACAGAAAATAGTCTCTACACAAGTAGCAACTAGCATGCTTTGATGAGAGATATATGATGCATGCCACCTCTAGTCAAGACACTGTGAGGATCTATCTTTAGTTCTAGAGTTGTTACTGGTGTCAAGCTATCGTCAGTTCAAAGACAGGTCCAATTTTATGCCAGTTGTTTGTACACTCTTTCTGTTATGACCTGGCTAATGAAACAGATTTTAGTTTGATTTTGATGGGCTGGGAAAGTTTAGAAAAGGTTTCAGTAAAGACAGCCATAGAAAAATTCTGTGTAAGGATACCTGGGACAGAGCACCCTACAATGGTTTATAGTTGATGGATAATGAGCGAGAGACTTGGGAATCTATACAGGAGAGTGAATCCCTCAATGGTGTTTTGGTTATGTAAACATAAATTATATTATTTTATAGTTCACAAAACATTTCACATTTCAGAACACTGAATGATATGATTATATTCATGTGTTTGTTATATACATATTTCTACAAAAAGTGCATGCTGTCCACCTGAGTGGACATGTAAATAAATTTTTATAAAAATGGGTTGAAAAAAAAATTAAGTTCAAACCTTGTTTTTCATGCCTAAATATGTATAAAAACACTTGGTAAAAAAAATCCTTACTGAAGATATCATAATTCATGCATGAAAGGGTTAAAACAAGTCAGAAATTGTTCAAGGTTTTTTGTAATGTCCTGTAAGAGCTGGATGCCGTCTAAACAACGCACATTCAGTGTTTACAGAAAGAGGACAGTGGACAAATCTATAGTGCCCAAGTTCACTGCAATGAAGAAACGTGTCAGCGAGTGCAGCTGTGTCGCTACTTTATGTGTTTTTGTGGTTTCTGACAACAATGGAGCATCATGCATTCCAATATGTGGTCTTAGTCTTTGGCTACAATGACAGTGTTTAATCAAATGATGACTGATGGTTTAAAAGTTTTCATTGGACTTGCGTGACATTAAGAAGAATGAATAACATCACAATCTCCATAAAACCAACCATATACTCATTTAAGTGTGAGAATTCAACATTTTGGGAATTTACTTCTCTGTTTTAAAAGGAATTGACTTAGTCCACGTTTACACGTAGCCAGGTATTTACAAAAACGGATCTACGTTTTCAAACCTATAGGGGGCAGTGTAGCGAGAAGCATAAAGCCATGATAGCCAATCGGAATCCTGGAAAAAAACACAACTAGACTGGCACGAATTACTTCCTGTTACTTCAATGACAATGGCGGGAGGGTCATTTGTTTGGACCAACATAGAAGTGGAGCTACTCCTAAATGTGGTGTTAGAGTACAAAACAAGTAAAATATTTGAAAATATTGACAGTAGCCAAACTGTAAACATGGGTCATACATATAATGCTGATGATGCTTTTGACGCATACCGTGACGTCAAACTCCATCTCCTCCTGTCTACATGCAAATGTAAAGACGGAGTTTTTCCAAATCTCCACTGTGGCCGGAGTTTTCAGATATGATCGTTTGCAGTGACTTGTAGCTTCGTTTACGTGTAAACCAAAAGTCCAAACGCATTGAAATATCACAGTTTTTGCTATATGTAAACAGGCTCTTAAACCAAATTTGTGATTGAGTTCCTGATACATAAAAAACTAGGATATTGTAATAAGTTAGACAGATGCAGTAAAACTGAAAGCGTGAGTAGATTTTGCAAACTGATGAACATGCCATTGATAAAACACAGACAGTGCTACACAGTGACAAAATGTTGTAATTTATTTGGTTTTTACCCTGCAGACAACTGAACAGACCTTTTTGTCTCTTTTCTGAAATGGTTGCTGAAATTATCATATTGAGTGCATGAAATTAACCAGCAAGCATTCCTAATATGCTAAATTTTCCACATCACTCATCAGTTGTACGTGTAATGAGAATCTACAGCTTTGAAGGGTCCATGAAATCTCTGGATGCAGAGTAATTTATTGGCAAACTTGCCACACAATTTTTTTTTTATATCATTACAATGAGAAAAAACACGACTCAATCGCTGCTATCTGATGAGAAGAGGCAGTGACTGTTTGTTATCTAAATATCTGCAATTGGCTTTTCATGTAAAACAACATTCCACTGGAATAACTCACATACATATGGTTATTTTCAGATTTATCCTGCAGTCAGTTATGGCAGTCAGGAACATTTAACAGCTGTTGCACAACATTTTCTGTGAGCGCTTCCTGTTTTCTGAGATTTTTAAACAACGTTGGTCTGCATCTGGAACCACTGATGCTCATTTGAATGACATTAAGGCTGACATTTGGAGTCATGAAGCTGTGATGAGAAACACTTGTGAACAGCGATCCAGATTCTGACAGGCCCCGGGGCAAAAACAATTATGCGTGTAGCAAGCTTTCCATTATCGGTGGGGAAAATAAACTGTAGCTCCTCTGGATAAACAGCCATATAGATGTCATGTCTCATCTCAATTAATTTTGCTGTTTACTGACTCACAACCATAGCTGTTCATTTTATTCAGACTTTTTAAAAAATGCACAGGAAACGTACTGTGCCTTTAAAGTATCGACAGCGAAAGCACACATTATGCAGAATAGCCTGTGGCAGTGTCAGGATGATGTTTAACTCATTTGTGGCTGCCTTATCAGCCGCTTCTTTAACCGCAAAATGTATAGTATGAACCAATTAGATGTAAAATTATAATTTGAGAAGCATCTAGTCAAATACAGTTGAAACCAGAAGTTCACTTGTGCTCTCCTACACTTCAGCCTAAATGATCATGTTTTAATGTAAGACTTTACTTACAGTTGAAACCAGAAGTTTACACACACTGTATAAAAAGACACATAGCCTTTTTTTTTCTCAATGTCTGACATTTGGCTGTCTGACTATTTTCTAAATGCCAGAATAATGAGAGAGAGAACTTGTTATTACTTTCTTTAAAGTCAGAAGTTTACATACATTTCCTTAGTGTTTGGTAGCTTTGCCTTTAAACTGTATGACTTGGGTCAAACATTTTGGTTTTCCTTCCACAAGCTTCTCACAATAGTTTGATGAATTCTGGCCCATTCCTCCTGACAGAAATGGTATAACTGAGTTCAGCTCTGCCCACAAATTTTCTACTGAGATCAGGGCTTTGTGATGGCCACTCCAAAACATTGACTTTGTTGTCCTGAAGCCTCTTTGTAACTAATTTCATTGTCCATTTGGAAGACACATTTGTGCAAAAGCTTAAACTTCCTGGCTGATATCTTGAGATGTTGCTTTAATATTTCCACATAATGTTCTTTCCTCATGATGCCATCTATTTTGTGAAGTGCACCAGTCCCTCCTGCAGCAAAAAACACCCCTACAACATGATGCTGCCACCCCCGTACACAGTTAGGATGGTGTTCTCAGACTTCAAACTTCCCCCTTTTTACTCCAAATGTAACGATGGTCATTACGGCCAAACAGTTCAGTATTAGTTTCATCAGACCAAGGACATATCTCCAAAAATAAGGTCTTTGTCCCTGTGTGCATTTGCAAACTGTAATTTGTCTTTTTTATGTTTCTTTTGGAGTAATGTCTTCTTCCTCTCTGACTAGCCTTTCAGCCCATGCCCAGGACTGGTTTTACTGTGGAAAATGACTCTCTCTGACCAGCTTCAGCAGCATCTTCACAAGGTCTTCTGCGTTTGTTCTGGGGTTGATACGCACATTTCACACCAAAACACTTCATCTCTGGGACACAGAACCCATCTCCTTTCTAACCGATACGATGGCTGGACATTCCCATGGTGTTTATACTTGCATACAATTGTTCGAACAGATGAATGTGGAACCTTCACGCATCTGGAAATTATACCCAAGGATGAACCAGACTTATGGAGGTCCACAATTCTCTTCTGTATATCTTAGCTGATTTTTCTCCTAAAAGGAAGCAGTGTGTTTGAGGTGTGCCTTAAAATACATCCACAGACGTGCCTCCAATTAAATTAAAGGTTGTCAATTAACCTATTAAAAGCTTCCAAAGCCATGGGATCGTCATCTGGGCTTTCCCAAATAGTTTGAAGGCATAGTAATCTTAGTGTATGTAAACTTCTGACTTTGAAGAAAGTAATAAAAAGAATCTCTAAAAAATTCTCTCCCTCATTATTCTGGTAATTATTGTTTGGTTATCCTAACTGACCTAAAACAGGAAAAGTTTAATCTGATTTATTGTCAGACAGTGAGAAAAAAAGGTTCTATGTCTTTTTATACAGTGTATGTAAACTTCTGGTTTCAACTGAAAGTAAAGTCTTAGATTAAAACATACGATAATGTAAGCTGAAATGTAGGAGAGCACAAATGAACAGTAGCATGAAATGGAAATAGTCAACTAATAGTAGTTAAAAAAAGGTCTTTATTATGGTACTTGAGCAAATGTAATTATAGTTAATAGTTATTAAATGGCAAGGAATTTGATACAAAGATAATAAATTGAGACGTATCCTACATCTATCTATACAGCTAAGATCGTTTTTAGTATTTCAGCATTAAAACAAACTGTTTGGCATTAGCTCCTATGAATACATTCTGGACAGTATTATCATATTGCTGTCTTTTTTTTCCTTCTGCCTGCTCAACAATAACTGGTCACGCTGCTGATGTGTCGTCGTTCTCTCCCTCTTAAGATCTGTTTCAGGTCAGCTATATTTTGGATGGGGTCTAATTAATCCCGGTGTCTGTTTAGATTGGTTTGCTCTCTTTTAAAAATAACTCATGCGCCTATTTGTGTTTCATTACCTGTGCAGATGAGGCCGTCATGTTTATCACACTCTCGGTCATCACACTCACAGTACTCTCCAGACACCCACCAATCCTGGGGTGAGCAGATACATTGGCCACAGTGACAAGAACCTGTAACACACATTAACACAAACACACACAAACATGCAGAGCTGTTAATTAACATCACTTTTTTTTTCTTTTTTTAATCCAGGCTGAGATTTTGACAGTGTATGTTTTGTATTTCTTTTGTAATACCACTCCCTTGGTGCTTTTCACCAAATGCTGTTGTATTATTTCCTATAAATGATCACTTTTGGGTAGAGTGGATGTGAAATATTCCCTGGGGAAACAACTAATAATGTACTTCTACCATCAGGATACCAGTCCACCCACACCTTAAACCCCCTGTTTTCCCCATCAGTGTCTATTCATCTCTTTCTCAAGGGCAGCAGCAGCAGGATAATAAGGTATTAAGGACTGGTATCTACTGCTGTCTCCTTCATTTTTCCATAGCTCGCACCCAGATGTCCGGCAACTATGTTTTCAATCTGACCAATTTCAACCCGTATACGCCGGGTTGCAGGAACCTGCCATGAGGAGCCGGGGGGGGTGGGGTGGCAGATGAAGAGAGGAGAAGGAGAGGCAGTGAGCGAGGTGAGACAAGGGGAGGAGATGAAGGAAGATAGTTCCGGTGTCTGAATGCAGCGGAGCATGGAGAATGAACATGCTCATCTTCATTTTCACACCCCGCTCGGCTCTGCAGGGCTGGACTCACTGCAGCCGGGACTATTTCTGTGGATTCACTGCCACACACCAGAGAAGGAATCCTGTTGTGTGGTGTCATTTGCCACCTAATGATACGTACAATGTAGTGAAAACGTGCAGCGCTTCATTATAAATATATAAGATGCAGCTGACAGATGCACCTGCTGCAATATTTATTTATTTATTTACTATCAATTACAATTTCTATCAATAGATTCTTTCTTTAGTGTATCTGATGCAAGAACATAGTCAAAATGCTTTAAATATGATGCCTTCAAATTGTTGGTTGTTGGACAAACATCAACAAATCGGAGGTGGCAAATATATGAAACTAAAAAAAAAAAAGCAGCAAAAACATCATTTGAGAAGCTGGAACCATTGATTTTTTTGGCCTTTCTGCACAATGCATGATGTGAATAATAACATCGTTCGGTATGAATCAGTTTAACTACCTTGAATATCATACAGTATATATTTTGCTAAAATACTTTCATAAAATTGTGCTGTACGGCTGCCGTATAAGATTAAAGTTGTACATTCATGTCCTGTTAAATTATGTCTGGGTAACAGGTTACAGCATCAAAGACGCAAAAAGTTAATATTGTCTAGAATATTATTTTAATCATTATAAAGTAGAAGGCATTAACCTGTGCAGCACACTTGGGTTCCGAGTGGAAATTTGATGTTAATCTTGTCAGATCTGTTGTAAGGCATTGCTATCAGCTTAATTACTAGCTATAAAAACTTTATGTATGATTCACCAGAGACAGCAGGTATAAGACAAGGCCAAACCTTGCTCTAGATATACCCATCATGATTGAGCTGTTTTGTGATTATATGAATATATTTAAGTTTTATATTCATAATATTGTCTTTTACTTGGTGCAGCAAAATTCAAAGGACAATTCTGAATTACTAACATCTACTAAACTATTTTGTCATCATCACGACAAATGGAATATGTGCAGAAAAAAAACACCCTTGAAATAAAATCAATATATTGATCTGGTTGACACCCTACAAAAATAACCCAACAGTTGAGGTCTGTTTGACAAGTTTGGAGTAATCTCCATAACTATAGAAACACAGCAATATGAGCAAGGTTTATTGAGAAGAATTGATGATTTGTAGGTCAAATCCACCATAGATGTTGTGCTAGCACAGACTTTTTTGATCAGTTACAGTAAAAAGCAAATAGCGATCCAGACTTATTGTCACATATTGCATGAATGTAATATGTTGTGTGAAAGAAAAACTATAATGCAAGTTTGTTAGGATGGTTCAATGGATGCAATAGGAATGGGAGATGACAAATTTCAATAGCACAGTTTTGGAGATCTTTGGAGTGAAGTGAAGTACCTTGTTACATGCTACAGACAAATGGCACTCAAGTCTTCAGGGACATTTTAATACAATCCTAAAAGACCCCAATGCATCTTTAACTGGAGTTGCTTGTTTACTCTTATCTTGCTGTTCTCTTTCTTCAAACTTTCTGCAATAACAAATGTCATGAAGCATTCGATTCTGAAGAGTTCTTCAGTCGTACGCCACATGGCAAACACGGTGATATTTCCATGTGTTTGGGCCTTTGGTTTACACATAAATTAATCTACAAGCCCCCAAAAACAATCTTATCTGAAAACTCCGCCAAAGAGGAGATTTGGAAAAACTCCATCTTTACGTTTGCATGTAGACAGGAGGAGGCGGAGTCTGGCATCACAGTATGTGACAAAAGTGTCATCGGCGTCATTAGCATCATATGTGTGCAACCCATGTTTACAGTTTGCCTCCTGGGATAGACTCTGTATGCCTTCAGTTTTGTGGTCAGGGTGGTGCGAGTCACATCATCCCTTCAGTGAGGAAAACCCTCAGAGGTCTCCGCTGGGTACTGCTGTAAAAACAGTGCCAATATGTCCATATACTTGGATTGACATGTTTCCCAGTCAGTATTTTCAATTATTTTACTTGTTTTGTACTCTGACACCACATTTAGGAGTAGCTCCACTTCTCTGCTGGTCCAAACAAACAACCCTCGTGCCATTATCGTTGAAGTAACAGCAAGTAATTTGTGCCATTCATTGTTGTGTTTTTTTCCAGGATTCTGATTGGCTAGCATGGCTTTATGCTTCTCGTTACGCTGCCCCCTATAGGTTTGGCATGCTCATGGCAGCTCTTAGCGATGTGTTTATGCGGGTTTGTGTACACAAAGATTTTTTTGAAAACAATCTGGTGTGAACAATGTTATTTTTGAAAACGTTGAT